CATGACTCTTATTTACAACCCAACCTTTCTTAAGGCTTATCACTCTCCCCTGAGTTTTCAGGAGTGGATTAAATGGGGTGACAAGTAGCCAAATGCTTCAAAACTGCAAGAGCATTTACACCTACCAAATTCAGAATTCTTTACATAGCTTCAAATTAAACAAGTCTTCTCTTAAAACCCTTTGAGTGACAAAGCTGCAATGATCTGCACCAGGCTTGATCTCTGTAATTTACTTCTTGTTGTCAGACCCTATTAGATGACAGCCTCCCTCTAACACCCAGCTATGGGCTGTTGATTTAGGTCCAGATCTAAATGAAGATGACTTGCCCAGATCAAGGCCACTATGAAGTCCAATTCCTGCAAAATATTGGCAGTGGAAACCAACTAAAAATTCTGTTAATTCTGGATAGAAATCTTCCAAATGCTAACCAAACTTATGTTTGGTGGATGGAGTAATCTGTTTTATTTTTTTCCTTAAGCCTGCATGGCAGCATATCCCATCATGAGGATGATATGGATGAGGCAAGCAGATCTTGGAATTATTTATCTTGTTCCTAAAAGGAGAATGCCATAGTAAAGGAGTGTGTAGTCTTAAAACTAAGTCTGTCTATTGTGCTGTTACCAGCCTTACTTTCAGCTGTCACATTGCTTTATTATTGTTGATTCTCAAGTTGAACCAATTGCCAAGCAATTACTGATCTTGGTTAAAGATGTTGTTTCATGTACAAAAAATAAATGTAATGAAAAAAAAACAAGGAAAGCGAGAGGAGATTAAAGGAAGACGAGATAAATAAAGCTTTAATTATTTGAATAGGGATTAATAAGGAATAATCTACTGTGTAAATTTGTCACAGCTGAAGTTACAAAATAGATGACAGAAAAAGGCTGCAGCAAAAAAGTAACACTGTACCTGACAGTGATCACTGTACCAAATGCTCAGCCCTTCTTGTCCCTATTGAAGAACCTGTACAACTGAAATGGGTCTCGATGGGCATGCTTGTGAGAACATGCACAGTGCTGTAGGAATGAGTGAATCTGCCTGGACTTAATTCGCCAAGGGTTTGGTTAACCCTGTTTGAAATCTGGCAAACTCGAAAAAACTCAAAATCTATAGGGGGCCTCTTAGTTCTTTCTGCTCAATATTAGTGCTAGTAGGCAAACTGTCAAAAAGGCATGTGCAGCTTTAAAAAAGGGATGCGTTTAGGTTTATGTCTTTGCCCCCACTCCTTGCAATGTACCCCCCAATTTTGAAAGGCAGGAAAGGTGTCCAGACACTTTCTGCCGTCCCATTCCTGGCCACCCAGGCTGCATGCCTGGATAAGGCCTGATTATAATTGTAAAGAGAACCCCATGCCATTTTTATGTATACTGTCACTTTAAAATAATGGGAAAAAAGTGTGCCCATAAAAGTTCAACCAACTCTTATTTGGGTATGCAGCCGTGGTGGCCAGGAAAGGGAAGGCAGTGAGTGTGAAGCCCCGTCTTCCTATACTATAACAGGCCACATGCCTTCAAACATTGGGGGGTAGCTTGCAAGGAGGGTATGAAACAACGAAAGAAGGAGCGCTACAACCCTGGAATACTGGGTGTTTAACAGTTAAACAGTTAAAAGATATAGTGTAACTATTGATGCAGACTCACTTTTGGACGGACGAGGTGGTATCTTGCCGTTAATTGTCAGCACGGCTCGCAGGGCGGAATCTGTGGCTGGTCTGTGTGGGAGTGAGCTCCGGGCTGTGGGGCTTCTGTTCAGTCCATGGATGTTGGAAGGTGAATCTTGTGGCCGGATGAACATCAAGAATTAAGAGACCACAGATAGAGCAATATAAAACTGGCCAGCAGCATGACACTTTTATTAGGGAGAATTGACCAAAATGTACTGAGAACAGGCAGAATTTTTATGACAAAAATTAGGAGACCGCAGATGTCACAGCAATGCAAAATTGCCCAGCAGCAGGACAATCATAATGGAAAAGGCTAGGCCAAAATTTACTAGGAACAAAGAGCGCAGGCAGGTGTTTTACCACAAGAAATAGGATATTGCAGAAGGTACAGTATTGCAAAATTTGCCAGTAGTAGGACCATTTAATGCAGGGATAAGTTGCTGAAATGTATTAAAAACAAAGGTTTTGATTTACTAAAGGCAAATATGCTGTTCAAAAAGGCAGTATACTTTGCTAGGAAATTTGCTCTTTGCAAGGCCTTTTCATTTAGCGTAGTGAATGCGGTAAAGCTCTGCTGACTTTCAACACGCAATTATTTGCAAGCAAAAATAAGTTGTTTTTTTTTAGTTTTCCTTGCATGTGATTTGAGCATTCTTTGCAAAGTGAAATTTCACCACATTCACCAAGCTAAGGGAAACTTCCCTTGCAAAGTGAACAGCATATTTGCCTTTAGAAAATCAACTTCAATGAGTACAGGCAGGAGTTCTAATACAATAATTGGCCAGCAGCAGGATCATTTTCATGGGCAAGGCTAGGCCCACATTTACTAGAGACCAAGAGTAGAGGCTAGATATTTACTACAATTATACTTTTTAAGAGAAACCAAAAAAGCAGTTTAAGCGCACATTTTTTGAAAAGAAAAAAAAAAGTTAGTTTTGAACAGGACTGCAGGATACTGACCTCAAATCAATCAAAAAACAAAAACATTTAAAAATGCAGCATAGGGTTTGATTGCTCTAGCAATCAGAATTAAAGCACATGATACTATCACTGGCCTGTGCCTCCCTTTATAATAGAGGGCAGGCTTATTCAAAAATACCCATATTGACCCTTCTAAGCCTGCTGGTCATAGTTTAAAGGTGTTGCAGTGCAATACGTTTTTACAGGTAAATGTGCACATAAGTACACCAGAACTGTGAATCTTGAACTTGCAAGATTCGCCTTGAACCCATGGTAGAGGTGAACCTGAACCTTATCTCTAATACACAGCAGGAATGCACGGCTGGATATGCAATATATGCCTGTGTGCTCATTACTGAAACCCTGCAAGTCTTGCCTATTTTTCATTACCTAGTAGTGGCTGATCTTAAAAAGTGATGTATACATGTCTTTTAGGGAAAGTATACTTGACTTTCAACATGCTCATATTTTGATTTATCGCCACAGTATTAACCCTGTGTGATTTGTCAAATGACTTAAATTTTTTGTTATTGCATGAAATGTAGAGATTTGTAGATTAGCCACTGGGGGGGAGCTCTCATGGCTCAGTGCTATCACTTTATGCTTAAAAACTATTGAAAAAGGATATCACCTACATATAGAGTGCATTGTTGTCAATGAGCTAGCCTAGTCATAGACTTGGATTGTGAATGGTAGTGGTAAAGCCCAACCACGTTGTAGTAATGCAAAGAAGGGAGCAGAGCCTGCATATGTAAATATGGATGTCCCTGTGCACATAGGTAAGATACAATTATGTAAAGAAACAATATTTCCTTAAGAAAAATGATATTAAGACAGAGAGTGAAGGTTGCAGTACAACCAGTCCTACAAAAAATATGTTTTCACTTACTCTAACGAGAAAAATAAAATATATTTTCCTTTTTGTTTGTTAATACTTTGGGGGAAAACAGCACTCAACATGTCTGAATTTGTCAGTCAACAATAACAGCAACAAAATATATGCATGCATTGGTAATTTGTTTAAGAATATCCTCATAAGATGGATTTCTCAGTATACTGGAATGGTGTACGAAAGTTTTGCTCATTAATTCTGACTCCCGCTCACTAACAAACCTTAAAACTGACCTTTCTAAAGTCTGCTAGTGTGTATTTGATACACTGTCAGTAAAACAACTATTTTATACAGAAGAATTGAAACATGGCAATAATTGCAGACAGCTTGAACCCCAGAAATTAGAAAATGTAATTTATGTGTCACCGTGATTAATCAAAAAACAGAAACCACTGTTTTGTAGTTTGTATTGGGGTTGCACCTGGTGACACAAGCCTGTTTACTTGGCTATATAAAAAGGCTATTATGCAAAATAGTGTTAAACATGAAGAAGGTATTGACTACAGTGTTATCAAACCTAAGGTTAGGTATCATTGCTCCAAATTTTGTTAAAAAGCCTAATGTTTTATACAGTACATGCCCCCTATGGATGTATTATTTCAATGTATAAGGTATGCTGTGTAAAAAACTAATAGTTTTTAGCCTAAGTGTTGGGGTTTTTTTTTTTTACATCTATTTTTAACAATACAAAATATAGGATTTTCTTTATTTTTAATGTCATACTGCACATGTAGTGTAACTATTGCAGTGCCCTTGTGAGCTGCAATTTATAAGGTACAATACACATTAATTGTACATGCCATTATTTAAGCATATACTGTGTGTATATATAAGTAGCGGTTTTAAATCTCATAATGAAAATACAAAATACAGCAATGAATAAAATATTTGGATATTGATGGCTTTTTTGTAAATCTGAGGGTGATTAACAAATTAATTAAGATTTCAAATAAAGATAATGAATAGTTATGCTGGAAACTCTGACTCCTAGGGGTTTTAATGATGAATTAGACGTTAATAAAGTTATAGATGATGAATGGGAAGTAGCTGAGCATTATACAGTTAAAATTAGTTTTTATATAATACGCAAGAGCCTCTTCCTCTACAGCCCTTAAGGATGCCCTATTGGGTGGAACACGTTGGACAGAGCAAGTTATTAACATCCATTCTGGGTTTTTTTCAGCTCATGTTATTTCCAGATTAAACTAGATTTATTCTGATTTTATTTTGTTTTAAAACATTTCTTACAAGTGCTTACTGACCTTTATAATGTTCGGTGAGTGTTTGTGTTGGTGGTGGAGGGATGAAAAGTTTTGAGTGCCCCTACTTACCAGGATTAAATTATAAAGTAGAGCAGAAGGGCATGCAAAATAGTGTGGCAGAGCCCAGCAAATGTCACCAAACCATCAAGCATTTGCTGATATATTTTAAATCTGTTCACACACAACTTTGCTCATCTCTACTAGGATTTGTTTGTGGCTTACCTAAAGATGTCCTAGCTGGAACAGCATCCTTGTTAATCCAAAATGATACCCAGGATAAAACAACAATAAGAGTGCAGGGTATGTAGGTCTGTATAGTAAAATAACCCATTCTTCTGGACAGGTCAAAGTACACAGTCATCACGATATAGTCCCCTGTAAAAAAATAGAAAAAAACACACATTTGTAATGCATTTTTTACTAAAAGCAAGCACAATCATATTTAGTGTATAATGTAGTGACATTAAGTAAATATAAAACTATTGTGAGGTTATAAAGGGAGATTTCCATAATAATGTTGTAGCCATAGGCAGGCCTTTTGTGTGCAAGAATGAATTGCATAGAGGGGGATTAGGAGGGGGAAGTTGCCCAGATGCAGTGTGACAGTAACTCACTATGCTACTCTCTGAACACATGGCCCGCTGCACCCTAGGCTTGACCCGCTGCCTATTGGGCATGATGCAAAGTGCCAGTACTGGGATGCTCTCTGCAATGCCGCACTTGGCACCAGAATTACGCTGTTACTATTGTCAGGCTGATGGCAAAAAAATCCACCAACAGAGGACCGCCGATGCTTGTGTGGCCGTCTCCAGCCACCCACTGTGAGTGGCTGGAGACGGCCACACAAGCATCGGCGGTCCCACCCCTCCTTTGGGTTGCTCTTTTAGGCGCCCCTGATGTGCTCTTACCATCTTCCATCTTGGAACTACGGGCTGTTGTCACTAAATGTTGTCTGTGCTGTACATCCGCTGAGTATGCACTGAGGGGACTACCTCCTGCTCCTGACGAAGCGCTTTGTAGCGCGAAACTCTTCGAGACTCATCAGCATTGCTTGACTCTTATGGTCATAGCCACACACCTACCAACCTCAGTTGTCCCACTAGAGGGTTCATTTTTCAATTCATCTATATTAGAGCTTTAATAGTTTAAGTACTACATTTGTTATTTATCTTTTTCTTTCATATTTGAACCCTATCTGTGGGACTCCAAGGGGGTCACTAGGAGGTTCCGCTATTGGGGCGAATTCTTTTTATTCCAATTACATTGTCTAAATGTTCTTTTTTAACAATTTGTTTTTCGACGAACCAATACATTTTCTAATTTTATATATAATCAATTGTGATGTGATGTTTACTGGATCTGTCATTCTGCTAGCCAACACAAACCCTTATTTTTGCTTCTTTGCTGTATCATTACCAAAGGTTACAACTAAAGGGGATTTCTCCACATGAAAGGGAACACCTAATGGAATCAGTGAGCAGCTCATCAACCAAAACCCACCAAAAACAGGTGAAACAACAACAATATTCCCTGTAGGAAGGAACAGATCCTCAGTCTGATGTGGCAAACAAGAAAATGGGTCAAGCCCCTAGAAGGGACAGGTCCCAAAGGGCAAAAAACAGTGACAAACAGTGGTAAAAAGGCCATCTCATCTAAACGGGAAGGCCCTAAGTCTTACAACCCTGACCCCTAATGTCATGGAACAAGAACTCCATGTCAAAAGAGATTGTCTGGCCCGACAACTATCCTCAAGGCAGTATAATGTGACTTTTGAGTTTGCCAAGGAAAGTCAACACAACTGAAGGGATAGTGTGTATGGAAAGCACCCCCAAAATTTTGGGCAGGAAATGGGATTCAGTCCCAAGACTCAGAGGATGTAGATAATGCATCCTCTGTGGAGCAAAGAGGCACTATTTGAGTTACTGCAGTGGAATTCAGCTGAAGACCGATCCTGCCTATCCCTAACCTCAAGTTATAGGTCTCAGGACAACCTCAAGTCATCTGTACAATGATTTGCAGGAACCTTCGTGGTACAATAAGAAAGAGCACCTGATTGACAGCAAAAGAAGTGAGTGTCCAAAGGACCATTCACCTTTACCTGTGGATTAGCTCAAAATGAGAACCTAGCCCACAGTAGATAAGCCCCCTAAGTCATGGAGACATTTCCTGTTCTAGTCTGAGAATATCTATAGCATTAAACAAGAGTGCTCGCTGACAGCCCAGAGATATGCTGACCCCTCCTCCGTCAACTTTAACCTGCAGTGCAGGTTAGTAAAGTAATGGGCCTTTCTTTCAAGACCAGAAGATTCCAGTAGAGAGGAATTTGGTCCCATGACATTTCCCTGCAGGGAAACAGTGCAAGTGAGGCTGGGATTAACTGTATCAGCCAGCACAGATGCCAAATTACTTCTCCTGGTATAGAAAAGTTTCCCATTTCTTATCAGTGGCGAAGGCTGAGCAGTACCAGTCTGGTGTACTCTGACCTCGAAGACCTACCCAGAGTGAAATATCATGGTGTAGAAGAACCAACTTGTTCTGGGGTACTAGACAGGAACCCTGGAGATTATGATTTTCCTTTAGGAGGTATCCTCTCATTAGGAGAAAATCACTAACGAGCTACCCGAGGGATAAGTCTAAAGCGGACCTTTACACTCAAAAATCAAATTCTACCAATGCATCCCTCTATGTATGATGATTAAAAATAACATAGACACGTCGGGTGTAAAATGCTGTGATTTTGAAATACTTTGAAAATGCAAATTACTTCAGTTTGCTAATGCAATGCGAACTGGGATTGCCTAGTCATCAGCAGAGCATGCAGGGAAATCTCCTCTGTAATCTCACAAGATCTCAGGGAAAGGCATTTTCCTCCTCTTAGATTATGTGCATGGTCACATGTCCTAGTCACATGTGGCAGAAATCCAGGAAGTAATAGGAAAGATAGTAATCTACCCTTAGTAAACATGGCCACTGTCAGAAGCCTGGGGACGAAAAAATAAATAAGGTATGCAAAGAATACAAAGCAAGCAATTATCTAGAAGTATGTGTTTGTAGATTGTCATTACTATACATTTCTAAAGGTGTGCTTGTTGTTATTTTAAAGATATAAATATAGACATGGGTATATACAGGTATATAGATATAGATATGGGTAAAGGTCCTCTTTAAGAAATAATTCCAACTGCCTGTCAATAACATCCTTAAAAGTATTCACATTCTCTACTTGTCTATCAGATTTCATTGTTAAGGTGGGTCATTGGTGGATCCACACTGGGTATATACTTTAACAAATGTCTTCTCATATGGAACAGTTCCAGCACGCTCACAGGTGGAGATAAAATAGTGCATGTAGCAGAAAGGTCTTTGCAGCAGGAGCCCTAAAAGACCCAAGGCTGGAGACAGGAGATCAATCCTCCAAACACATGGTAGTACATACTGCATCAATAAGGTCCAAAATAACCCCTTCTCATTCTGAGGTGATGGTAGGAGACTGCAGATCCACATAAACAGTTTATTTAGAGACAGACTGTTGGTACTCTGAATCTGTTCAAAGAAGGTCACAGTACCTGGTGGCCTGGGCTCATCCATGGCCTCACCAAGGTTAGTGATAGACTCTGCAGGGGATGGTGCCAGAGCATGCTTAAAGACTCTGCAGTCAGTATCCACTAGCAACTGGGTGAATTTGACCACAAAGTCTGGAGTTTCATTAGAGGCCCCTGACTATAGGCCCAATTATTATAATGATGTAGACTATAACTACAGAGCCATCAGATACCAGGGATTGGTTCCCTCAGAGAATACTGAGTAGCTCCCCCTGGAACCATTAGAAGAGTATGGGGGTCAACTTTTGCAGCAGTATTGGCCCCATTCTTTCTGTGTGCAGACATTTTGTGACCATGTGGTGGGGCTGCAACTAGGCCCAAAAAGTAAGGTAAGGCCTTAGATGCTCACCAGTCTAGGTATCTGGTGCAGATGTGCGTCAGATGGTTAAAGGTGACCAGGTCACTTTAGGTGGGCAGTAGGAAAAGAGTGGAGACCAGAATTCCACATGGTGCTTTTCAAAGCATAAGCATCATCAGGATGAGGCTTAGTGTATGCTGAATGGTGGAAAAGAAAGCACAGAACACGCACAACACTCCACCTAGCAAAAATATATCAGTGATTATTCCCTCAGCATATTAACCCTTTATGATGCAAAACCAGAGGTAGCAGGAATTTGAGGTGCAAATAGCAAGGGAGCTCCCCATGTTTCACCAAAAACAAAACAAAATACCAGTGTCTGAATCAAGCATATACATTTAAACTAGGAAAATACTGGGTTATAATGCAACAATGACTGTCAAAGTACATGCATCACTATGCCTTTTGATGTTTTTTTAAAGCATGTCCACTTGGGATAACTATATTTTTTCATTTGCATTTAGAAAACAGAAAGTACAACTGCTTGGATTAGTGGTATTCCAGACAAGCAGGAGACAGGTGGCGAGGAGGAGGGGTATAAGTATATGAATAAGTGAAAGGCAGTACACATCTTGTGTAAGTAGAAAACCCACAGAAAAGAGATTAAATATATAATTGAAATAGCTTAACCTGTGCCCTCAGGTCGACAGTGATGCTCTTAATTGCTGGGAAAAAAGCTAATTCTGTAGCACAGTGGTAACTTACTGGAATTTACTATTCAGCATAAACTTACTCTTCTGTGTATGCATATAGTATGTTTGGCTATAGTAGAAAAATAAAAATATAATTTTAAACGTATAAAATATGTATTTCTGACAAAAAATGTACTAATTTACTAATTTATTAGTGTAGATTGAATATATTTACATTGCTCCATCCATATTCTGGTTCTTTATATATCAAAAATATTGGCTATAGAGAGACGATAAAATATAGCATTTAAAAAAATGCCAGAATAACAAATGGAAAGATCTTAACTTGTTGCATGATAATGCATTATTAGTATTAGGAATAAGTATTATAGGTTAATAGATCAATTTCCCTTAACTGATATTCACCCCAGACTGGGCAAATCATAACAAGTATATGTTTCCTACTGACTGGATATTTGCTGCAAACTAATCCTTTTGTGAACTGGTAAACAATCCTTTAAGAGCATATGATGTGAAAGTAAACTGGTAAGGGGTTCCAAATAAATGCTTAACCAGTTGACTTTAGCAATTCATGGAGAATAATCAGCCATGCAATAAAAATCACAGGGCTAGAATTAGAGCATCACCAATGGAGCAAATATTGTAGGATTCACATTTTGATAGCAGGGATGTATCCTTTATTTTACACTGCACACTACACATACTAAAACTATATATGGGTGCACTGCACTTAATCATTTTTGGATTTCCTCTACTCCCTGA